GGGGGGGGGGGGGGGGGGGGGTGAATAGGGTTATACAAATCCGCCGATCCGCCCAATTTTGGAGCAAAATCCGCGATCCGACAATGGTCTTGTCTAAATTTGAATCCGCTAAAAGCTCTACTATGAAGTCACAATCCGGGATCAAAACACGCTAAATCCACAATTCGAGCCAAAATATCACATAAATCCGCAATCCGCTGTATTAATAAGATTAAAAAATCCGTGTAAACTATTCACTAGTTCCGAAATCCGATTGTGATCGGAATCTTGTTGTGATCGGACGTCCAAAAAGTTGGTCCGCTAAAGCTGTTAAATATGAGTCTCAATCAAGACAAAAATCTTAGTCTCTTACACGGTGTATCTCTTAATGATAAAGACAAGGTGATATGGACGAAATATTTTCAAACTCTACAACAATTCGTCAAAGAAGTATTGAATTTATCCGAAGGAGTATGGAGCTCTCCCGGCGGAGATGCGAAGCAATATAAATCTAAGGAGATTGATATCAGATGGTATCCTGACACACAGTCAATAACATTGGCTGGGAAGCTGAAAGACGAGCTAAAGCTAAAGTTAATTTCCCTAGCTTCGATTTCACAGCAACTGGCAAAAACCCCCGAAGCCTCTGACCATGACGACTATAGCGACGGACATGATGGTTATGTTGCTTCGCCTACGCATCCTGATGTTGCTTCGCCTACAAATTTTGATACCACTGGGGACTTACAAAATGTTGTCGAAACAATCAGAATAGAGATGAAAACCCTGAAAAACCAGCTCACAAAATTTCAAAATGCTACAAACTCGGCAATTAAAACTCTTAGGGAAGCGTCTATTAAGATATCTGACGAAAGTGAGAACGAGAATAAGGATGAAGAATTAAAAACCTACGGCAGGAAAATGCGAAAATAAAGGATGAAAACAAAGCCTTAACTGAACGCATCAACAATCTTACATGCACTTTAGCAGATTTGAATAACAAAGCTAAAATTGCGGAAAACGAAAAGGCGAGCTTGGTTTGTGCCCTCAGTATCCTACAGGATGATTCTAAACATGCCTCAATTGCCGAACCAAATCAACAAACAGCTCAATGGCGTCTACAAGAAAACCGACATAGCAAAAAGAATGGCGTGAACAGCCCCAGGAAAGTACTAACTGCCGATAAACATGAAATAGGCCGTGGGCTGTTGGCCAAAATTATTTCGCTTCGTGGCACCCATGTAGGAAATACTTGGTTTGGGGTTTATTTGAAAGGCATATAGGTACATCACTACCAAAGAAAAGTTCCCAAGCAAAAAGTTGCCCAATACCGAGAAAATGGGTGATCAATGATTATCCTCTATTAAATTGTATTACAGCAAAAAATGGGAAATTTTATATTCAATTACAATAAAAATGACTTGCATAAGACGATTTTTCAAATAGTTACTGCTGTTTTAAATGTGAAAACTGGACCAAAATGTCGCAATGAGGACTGGGTACTAGGTCAAAAACGCGTTTTTGACAGCGTATAACTCGAAAACAATTTTAGATATAAAAAAACTGTTTAAATGTCTTATATGTAGGTTTTTGTAAGCTCTCTGATGATGCAAGTCATTTTTGTTGTAATTGAATACAAAATTTCACATTTTCTTGCTGTAATACAATTTCATAGAGGATAATCACTGATCACCCATTTTCTCGGTGTTGGGCAAGTTTTTTGCTTGGGAACTTTTTGTGGTAATTAAGCATCTATGGTTCTATGAATTGAACCACAGAAAATCTATTTCCCAGGGGGGTGCCACGAAATTGCTTTTCTAGGCACTTTTTCGCACAACAGCGCACGGCCTAAAATGACTGATTTCGCCGGGACAAATAAATATAACCCATTACAGATTTTATCAGAATTACAGAATGACGATGATGCTGGGCTAAGTAACGAGGCAGCTTCTCCTGCTGTAAATGAAAGCTACCAGAGCCCAACCCTTGAAAAACCAATA